ATTTTTCTTCCAAACTGATTTTCAACCTCATGGAGATAAGTTTTGAAATTTTCAAAAGCATCATTTTTATTTTTCATCAAGTAAACATATGTAAACTTAGAAAAATCCTCAATGAAAGTGATAAAATAACTATTACCTCCACGAGTTAGAATTCCACCAAGTTTACAAATATCAGTATGAACTAATTCTAACAAATCAGCTTTTCTTTCAACTTGAAAATGAGGCCATTTAGTGATTTTAGCTTTACTACAAGCCTCACATTTTTCAAAAAAAAATTTTACCATTGGAATTAATTCTAAAATATTCATGATTCAACCATAACGATCATTAATATGACAAACGAGCATGCCAAAAAATTGTTAGAAGAATGCATATAAACAGAAGTTGAAATTTTTATTCATTTCAACATTCAACTTAAACATTCCATCACATGCACATTCCTTCCCCACAAAAATACCTTTCTTGACTATTACATATTGATCAGATTCAATAATCTATTTAAAGTCTACTTTATTAAGAAGAATACTAGACATCAATTTTTTTCTCATAGCAGAAATATAAAGTACATCTTTCAATGTTAATACCCTTCCCAAAGTAAAATACAATTCATCTCCCTTTCCAAGCACTTGAGTAGTGTGAGCATCACCAAGCATGATGGTTTTGGGTTCTTAAAATGAGTATATTTTTTTAAAATAGTCTTTGTCATAATAGACACGATGGTTGCACCAGAATCAGTCCATCATGCATCAACATTCTCAACCACGTTTATGTCGGTAATCACCGCCACAAAAGTTCTTCGGTAACGTTTGACTGAGGGTTAAGACCACGTTCTCCGAATCTTCAAAATCGAGCAATATGCGCGCTCTTGCCACAAACATAGCATGGTCCCTTTTCTTGAACTTGTTGATTTTGTGCTTGGTGGTTTTCACCATTATTTTTCTTGGGAGGTCTACCATTATTTTTCTTGAATTTTTTCTCCTTAGGATTTAAAGAAGTATTTTTGTGAGTTTCAAGAGTATCATTATTCGAAGTAATTAAATATACCTTCGATGTGATGTTGTTCTCTTCTGTATGTAAAGTGCATCTTGGCTTGTTGCTTCTTCTTCCATGCGGATTTTCATCAGTAAGGTTTCAACAGAGTTTCCTTGTGTTTGTGGCGCATATTTTTTTTTGGAATTCCTTTCATGATGGTGGAAGTTTATCTACTATGCCACAAATAATAAGATTATCTCCAACTTTAACTTCTTCGGACCTAAGCTCTCCAACAATCATGATGAAGTCTTGAGCTTGATCTACCACTGATTTGTTGTCCACCATTTGGAAACGAAAAAATCTACTAGCTGCATATTTTTTCGCTCCAGCCTCTTCGATATCATACTTACTCTACAAAACTTTCCAAATTTTCTTTGCACTAGAGTAAGTTCTATCATAATAATCATAAAATTGATCAGACAGACAATTAAGAGGATAATACCGGCACTTATAGGAATCAACATCGTACTTTTCCACTTTCTGAAGATGAGAAATAGTTTCATCATCATTCATAGGGGTGATGTCTTCTTTATTTGGATTCTTCTCGGTTAATACATAAGAAACATTAAGAAGACTTAACTACAAAAGTACTTTACCCTTTCATCTCTTGAAATGGTTACCATTGAAATGACTTGTTAAGGTCTCCCATCTTGACATTCACAGTTTTTTCAATTGTAGTCATTTTGAATCTCCTTAAAATTGTTAGTGAAAACTTACAAGATAACAAAAACACAAGATTACACACATACACACACACGCACGCGCACACGCACACACGCATGCATGCACACGCGCGCGCGCACACACACAAACAAATATGGATAAACTATGGATAATATGTGGGTAACTGATACCCATATTTGACTCATAAAAATATGGATAAACTATGATAAAATACGGGGAAAATATGAGTTAGTCAAATGGATTAAACTTCTAACTTTTATTCACTCAAAATTCATGTATTACTAAAAATAGTATAATTTTTCTTCCTTTTTATGTTATTTAGTCCTAAAATGCATATATTAATTTACTTTGAAATTAAAAATATTTTCATCTTGTTATTACATAAATTTATTTTACATTGAAAAGCTATAGAATATTTATTTTATTTTTATGATACAATAAAACTAAATGAAGCATGTTCAACATTTTTCATCTAAAAGAAACTAAAATATCTTCTCCAAATTTTTAAGTAAAGTAGTATTTATTCATGAAAATATGAGTAAAATATGGATAAACTAATATCTTACTCAACTCATTTATTACCCATATCAAATACGGGCGAATTGAATGATTACCCATTTTATATTTATCCATTTTTAACCTACCTACATTTAATCCAACCCGCCCATTTGCCACTACTAATGATAATCAATTTTTTAATTACATAGGGGATAGAGGAAGAGGAAATTTGAGATGAGACAACTACAAGGTAGAGAATGACTAGATACCGCACTAATAAAGCGAAAGTTCACATATCAAACTAATTGGGTATTATTATAATTCCAAGAAATGTTGTTGTTAACAAAAAAGGAAATACATATCTGGATATAGATAAAAGGACGCTAACACCCGTTAATAGAAGATAATCAATATGTCACATTTTCAAAACATCATTCAGGCTTATACAAAAAAGCAAGTAATAATATTATTTTCGTCAAAATATTTGACATTATCGATTGATTTTCAAAATGTAATATAATGCTAAATAAAAGTAATGATCTTGTTAGCTTGAAACAAAGTGAACAAGATCAACAACATACTTAAGAATTTTGAAATGAGCGATGATAAATTGAGTACTTTCACATACAATTATATCAAGATTTCAAAAATTTATCAATAACTACTTATAACTAATACCATTTGATGAAAAAAGCATTACCATCATGAACATCAAATTCACTTGCTTTTTGTATAAGCATGAACAAGTTTTGAAATATGACATATTAACAACTTCATTTATATGGAATATCACAACTATTTGTAAGCATCTCAATTTTTTAGGACGAAACATTAACTTTCTAACCTAATATTATAGTTAAATCAAATCATTTTCATGAAAAAAGTTATAGAAGAATAATGAAATTGATATGATATTCGTAATGAGATATGAAGTTTAAATTTAAATAGATAAAATATTATTGATTAACTTACCTAATGCTAGTTTAGCGTTTGATTAAATATTTTGAGGGTAAAATTTTGCCATGTGTTTGATCACAAGCTTCTAAAAAAATTTGGCAAGTTATTTATGGGTGTAATTTTGCCATGTGTTAGACTACAAATTTACAAATATTTTGGAAAGTCATTATTGTGTGAAGTGTTGCCATGTATTTGGCCATAAATTTTTTTGGGAGATATATTTGACTTTTATTTTATAAAAGATATGATTTATTTAAACCTATGAGTTCTAAAAATCTATTGAAATACTCATACGTTTGTATTGTCATTTTTTGTGAAAATATTTCATGAAAAGCAATGACAACAAATATAATAATGTGAATTCGAAAAAAAAGAAGAGAAAACAAAACGAAAAAATCATTGATTTATATACAAAAACTACTATTACTACTTGTAATTAGAAGTGACTTCAAAGAGTAAATTCAGATTAAAATTTTTTAAAATATGCATGTAATGCTATAAGTTTGTACAACAAACTAGGAATGAAATTTAGTCTAAAATTATAAATATTGAGTATTTTATAAAATAGAGAAAATACATCAAACCCCCCCCCCCCCCCGAATTTGGCACGAAAACTCGCTTTAGCACTTGAACTACACGGGTTTTATATACCCCTCTTTACATGTTTGATGTGAATTATTTTCAACCTTCAAGCTCTACCCTCCTACGCGTGTTGATACAGCTTTGTAGGGCGCATAATTCATCTTTTAGCATTTTTTAAAAATAAAATTTGACCCTTCAACGGATAATATCCGACCCATTACATATTTGAATGTAAATCTTCTCTTTTGTACAAACCCTAATTTCCTCTTTTCCTCACCAACCCAATCATCCAAAAATGGTGACCTAATTCATGCTTTTTTTCTTTATTTTCCTCAAATCTTAGCTCTTCAAACCTCAAATCTTAGCTCTTGAAACCTAAAAGTTGGATCTTTGAAGGAATACTTGTTCTTCAAAATATAAGCTTCAAACCTATTCTTCTTTATCTATTATTTTGATTTTTAATTCGTCGCTTTTTATTATATCTGTTTTTTTTTCAGATTCTTGTTACGCTAATGGAAGATAAATCTTCGAATTCGATCTTCTAGGTTTGAGAGAAGAGAAAGAATGAGAATCGCGGTCTTAGGGGATTTAGGGATATTTGTTTATAAGTGGGTCGGGTTGTATTTTTGGAACGTGTAAGATATTTTTTAAATCCTTAGGCGACGTGGACCACTAAAAATGTGTGTGTGTAACAATGTCCAGCCTTCAACTTGGCTGGAGCTCGGAAGGTTAAAAATAATTCACATATATAAATACACGTGTAGTTTAAGTATTAAAGTGAGTTTTCGTGCCAAGTTCAGGGGGATATTATGTATTTTTCCTATAAAATATAAAAGTTTAGGATTTTTTTTTAAAAAAATAATTCTCTAATACTAAAATCTTACTCAAATTCTATGTTTTTCGAGAACTTGGGAACTTGAAATAACTAACAAACACTAGTTACCCTTTTTTTATAAATTTTTCCTTATATTATTTTCTTACTTTTGAATTACTAGGTTAAATTGGAAGGAACAATAGTTAAAATATCAAATATTGTTAAAGATTTATGAGCAGTGAAGAAGAAGAAGAGAGAAATTTAGAAGAAGAATATTGTTGTTATTTTAAATCTTAGTCTAGTTACATTCTAGAGCTTCTCTTTATAGTAGTTGTGATATCTTGATCATATTTAGTTATTCTAACAGACTTATAGTATTAATAACTAACTAACTAATTCATGGAAATTAAGTTAGTTACACTATAACAGTGATTTAGAAAACACATATAAGAACCAGGTTCACACATTGTACTGGTTCATTCTTCTCATTCTCAACACTCCCCCTCAAGATAGGAAGTGAGAACATGTTCAGAACTCCTAGCTTGGAGCTCAGATGTTGCAGCTGTACTTTTGTAAGTCCTTTAGTGAGCTGATCAGCTGGTTGATCTTGTGTAGGAATGTACTTGGTAGAAACTAATCCTTGTGTGATTTTTTCTCTTATGAAATGACAATCAATCTCAATGTGCTTGGTTCTGTCATGATAAATTGGATTTGTTGCAAGTTGCATAACAGCTTTGCTATCAATGTATATGTTGATAGGCAGTTGCACTTCAATGCTGAGTTCCTTTATTAAACCTTTCAGCCATATAATCTCTGTCACAATAGTAGCAATACTCCTATATTCAACTTCAGCTGAACTCCTAGAAATACTTGTTTGCTTCTTTGACTTCCATGAAACTAGAAACCCTCCATACTGCACAAAGTAACCAGTTATTGATCTTCTTGTTAGAGGACAGGATGCCTAATCTGCATCACAATAAGCAGTGATAGTAACTGGACAGTAGTAGACCTTGTCCTGGTTGATTTGTCACATATCTCACCTAGTGTTGTAGTCATGTGTAACTTCTTAGGTTGTTATAGAAACTGACTTAATGTCTGAACTCCATAGGATATGTCAAGTCTTGTCATAGTTGAATATAGTAATTTTCCAACTATCATTTGATATGCTCCTTGATCAGTTAGTGGATCGGGTTTTATCATCTGTTTTCCTTCATCATACTATTTGGTAGTTAATTTTGAGTTGGTGTTAATTGGAGTTCCAGCTGGTTTAGATGTACTTAGACTAGTTTTAGAAATTAACTCTAGTGCATACTTTCTTTGATACATTAGAATGTCTTGCTTTGATCTTGCAAATTTAATTCTCAGAAAGTACCTGAACTCTCCCCAAGTCTTTCATCTTAAAAACTTTCTTCAAATGATCCTTTGTTTCTTCAATTATGAGTATATTACTTCCAGTAATCAGAATGTCATCCACATAAATAAGAACCAGAACCATGCTTGTTGTTGTCTTCTTTATGAACAGGGAGTGATCATGTTCACTTTGTTTGAACTCAAATTTGTGTAATGCATGAGATAGTTTAGTATTCCACTGTCTTGGGGCTTACTTTAGTCGATAGAGGAATTTAGTGAGTCTAGTTTAGAATCTACTCTTAGTAAAGGAATAGAACAACTAGTTGCGATATCAACATCTCTTGAACTTGTATTTCTTCGCAATATGTAAAGTCCTCCATTTTCTTTACCAATTATCTTAACCCTTCCATGTGAGATATCCTGAAATATACAAAAGTTAGGGGAAAAAGTAGCAGAACAATGCAGTTCCTTTGTGGTTTAGACACTGATAGAAGATTAAATTGGAATTGTGGTACTTGAAAAACTCCAGTGATCACGTCATTGTTTGGTAGGACACTTGAACCAATAAATTCAACTAATGTGACATTTACATTTGGTAAATGTACTTTCTTTGGTTTATCAACCTTGCAAACAGTGGACTTGTTTAAAGAACTCAGATTAGCCACCATGTGATTAATGGCACCTCTATCAATAATTCATTAAGGAGTAGAATCATTATTAACAGTAGAGTTAAAACAAGTGTTTGTACCTGCTTAATTACCTACTACATTAGCTGAATGAAATTGTTTCGGATCCTTGTTTAAAAATTGGAGCAATTGTTGATATTGATCCTTTGATAGATGACACGGTTCTAATTGATTGTTCCCTTCATTTGAAGGTTGCCCATAGTCATTTGCAGTAAGTTTAGCAGAATGGTATGTAGTTAGATGTTTGTGATGAACATGTTCCTGAGACCATGTTCCTTCCGTCATTGCATTATATGCAATGTTAGACTCTTTTTTCTTGAATTTGAAATCTTGAGGATACCCTATTAACTTGTAACACTTATCTCTTTTTTCTTGAATTTGAAAGCAACCTATTAAAAATAAAATTTTCTTGTAACTTTAAATCAATAATTATTAAAATGAATAATTATTAAGGGTAGAATTGAAAAAAATGAGCTAATTAGTTGTTGATTGTTTAAATTGACAATTAATCTTGGACATCTATTTTTAGTATACCTGACAAATATTTCTGGACGGAGGGAGTAATATTATACTTGATATATAATTATTAAGAGCTAAGCTTAATCATTATTTATTTACTTTCATATAATAAATAGATAGATATCACAATAACTTATAAAAAATAAAGAAATAACAAAAAATGAGGTAATACCAATAATAATATTCTTAAGATGTTTCTAGAACTATTTAATTTTCTTGTTACCATTCGTGGTAGATTTTTGCTTGCATAAAATTACATTTTTACCTTGATCATCATTCACTTCATATATAGAAAGATGTTTCTAGAATTATTTATTTTTGATAGATTTTTGTTAGAATGAAATTACATTTTTATATTTTGTCGTCTTTAATACAAATATATCATCCTTTTCATTTTTATTTGTAAAGTTACTTTTTAACATTTTTTTAGTTTCAATCTAATATATTTTATTAATTTTATCATACTTATTTATTTTCAAGTATACTAATTAGAGCCAAAATAAAGATGAAAATAATTAATTCATGATAAATTTTTATATAAAAAGTAGGCATTTTTATAAGAATAATGAATAGAAAAAAATATTAAGAATTAAAATAAAGTAATTGTAAAATAGAGTACTAACTCACAAAAGAAAGAAAGTGAAGTAATAACAAAATAAGTTAATGCTAATAGTTTAAGATGTTTCTAGAACTATATTTTTTTTATTATCATTGTTGATATATTTTTGTTAGCGTGAATTACGTTTTTGTCCTTGATCATTATTCACTTAATATTATATAGAAGATGTTTCTAGAATTATTAATTATCTTTCTTAATAGGTTTTTGTTAGCATGAAATTATATTTTTGCCCTTGGTCATCCTTCCATTTCACTCTTCTATATAATAGGAAAAAATGTATATATATATATATATATATATATATATATATATTAGTTTCTCATTTTTACAACGCAATCTCCCATTGAAATCTTGTTATGCACATTTGTTTGGTGTTATAACTCTACTTATAATTCAGTCGCTTTCTTTGATTTTAATATATACTCTACATTTGTATTGAAAAATTCATTAAATGCATATAAACAATTTATCAGAACTAAGTAAAAGTTTTTTCTAAAATCAAAACTTAACAGTGTTGGCTCTCATATTTGCCTGTTGGTGTACACTGTACACAATTGAGTTGACGTACGGAACAAAAGAACTATACACAAAACAAAAATAAAATTGTGATTAATTTTATCAATTACATTTATTTATAAAAGAATGAAAGCAACGAATAAAAGAGAAAAATGTTGTAAACTATGCCACGTGGGCCCCAAACAGTGAATGAGTTGCATCACTAGTGCAACTCGTCACTTGGCCAATAATAAGCCAAAGATGTACATCACTTGGCCAATAATGGCCAAAGTGATACATATACTTGTGGCTATAAATAGCCATTGTATACAATTTTATGAAAATATAATTACTTCCTAAATTTTCCTTCTTTGAGTATATAAATTTTAGTAAATTCTTTTATAACACGTTATCAGCACGAGTCTCTGCTAGTTCAAGTAAAGAATTTAAAAGCCTCGGAGGTATAAATTTCCTTTTCTTAATAATGTCTAATCTCTCTAAACTTGAATTTCTTGCCCTAGACATATCGGGGAAAAGCTATCTATCATGGGTACTCGATGCAAAAATTCATCTTGATGCGATGGGTCTAGCAGACACCATCCAAGAAAATAATCAAGCATCGAATCAAAACCGTGCTAAGGCGATGATATTTCTCCGCCATCACCTTGATGAAGGTTTGAAAATGGAATATCTCACTATTAAGGATCATCTGATGTTGTGGAACAATTTAAAAGATAGATATGACCACCTGAAGTTGGTCTTCCTTCCACAGGCACATTATGACTGGATCCACTTGAGACTTCAAGATTTTAAATCTATCAGTGAGTATAACTCTTCCATGTTTAAAATTATCTCACAATTAAAATTATGTGGAGAAAATATCACTGACCATGATATGCTGGAGAAAATGTTTTCCATTTTTCCTGCCTCGAGTATGTTTCTGCAGCAGCAATACCGAGAAATGGGATTTAAAAAATATTCTGAATTAATTTCACATCTCCTTGTTGCTGAACCACATAATGATTTACTGATGAAAAACCATGAAAGTCGACCTACTGGTTCTATGCCATTTCCTAAAGTAAATACAACAAATTTTCACCAATCTAGGGTCGTGGCCCCAGTCGAGACCGTGGTCGTGGTCGAGGAAGAAATTTCAATCATGGTGATCGTCTTGCACTAAATAATAATCTTCAACACCAGCAGTGTAATAAGAATAATGAAAAACATGATGTAGTGCAGAAGAAAAATTCAGACAACAAATGTTATCGATGTGGAGGAAAAGGATATTGGTCACGTACCTGTCGTACACCAAGGCACCTGGTTGAGCTATATCAAGCTTCCCTGAAGGAGGTGAAAAATAACGTTGAAGCCAACTTTATCTCGGAAGATACTGTTGAACCCATGCATCTAGATATAGCGGATTTCTTTAAGAATCCCGAAGGAAAGATAGATCACCTGATAGGTGATGGATCTGTGATAATGTAAATATATTTCATTTTAGTCGTTTGTATGAACTAGTATGAATATGTTTTCCTAGACTTGTAAATAACTAAAAGGTTGTGTAATGTTTTTGTTTAAGTAATAATATTATAATGTTTATTTCGTTTATATCTTTTATCTTGAAGAGTATATGGATACCTCAATGATCAATCATGAAGATATTTGTGTAATTGATAGTGGAACAACGCACGTCATATTCAAAGATGAGAAATACTTCTCCTAATTGCTTAGAAGAAAAGCAAATGTTACTACAATTTCTTGTATTCAAACTTAATAGAAGGCTCCGGAAGAGCTACTATATTTCTGCCTAAGGGGACAAAACTCGTCATAGAAGATGCTTTGTTCTCTTCTAAATCCCCAAGAAACCTATTAAGTTTTAAAGATATTCGCCGAAATGGATATCATGTTGAGACAATAAATGAAATGAATGTTGAATACCTTGGTATTACCAAGATTGTCTAAGATCAGAAATATGTGTTGGAGAAATTATCAACTTTATCTTTTGGCCTATATTATGCAAAAATAAGTACGATTGAAGCACATTTTATCGTAAACCAGAAGTTTACTGACTTGAAGACTTTTGTACTTTGGCATGACCGAATAGGTCATCCTGGATCAATAATGATGAGACGAATCATTGAAAACTCAAATGGACATCCATTAAAGAACCTGAAGATTCTTACAAATGATGAGTTTTCATTTGTTGCTTGTTGCCAAGGCAAATTGATTACTAGGCCATCACCAATGAAGGTTAACATTGAATCCCCTCAATTTTTAGAACGAATACATGGGGATATTTGTGGACCTATTCACCCATCTAGTGGGTCGTTTAGATATGTTATGGTCCTGATAGACGCATCTTCAAGATGGTCTCATGTGTGCCTCTTATCATCTCGCAACCTGGCGTGTGCAAAATTATTGGCACAAATAATACGATTAAGAGCGCAATTTCCAGATTATCCCATTAAGACAATTCGCCTCGATAATGCTGGCGAATTCACATCTCAAGCTTTTGATGCTTATTGCGTATCGGTAGGGATAAAAGTTGAACATCCTGTAGCTCATGTTCATACTCAAAATGGCCTTGCTGAGTCATTTATTAAGCGCTTACAATTGATAGCAAGACCTCTACTTATGAAAAGTGAGTTGCCTACTATTATTTGGGGTCATGCTATCTTACATGCAACATCACTTGTTCATCTCAGACCGACTCATTATAATAAATACTCCCCATCACAATTAGTGTTTGGCCATGAACCAAATATTGCTCATCTTCAAATTTTTGGATGTGTTGTATATGTGCCTGTAGCACCACCTCAGCGCACCAAGATGGGCCCTCAAAGAAGGTTAGGCATATATGTTGGGTTTGATTCACCCTCCATAATTCGCTACCTTGAGCCATTGACGGGAGATTTATTCACTGCAAGATTTGCAGATTGTCGATTTGATGAAACAAATTTTCCGCAATTAGGGGGAAAAAAAAGAAACTTAAAAGTGAAATTGCATGGAAAGTTTCATCATTATCTAATTTTGATCCACGCTCCCCTGTGTGTGAACAAGAGGTCCAGAAGATCATCCATTTGCAAAACATAGCAAATCAAATGCCAGACGCATTTACTGATTCAAAAAGGATAACAAAGTCGCATATTCCTGTAGTTAATGTGCCTATCCGAATCGACGTCCCAAAAGGACCATCTACAAGTGTCATAGCTTCTGAATCACAAATACGCCTGAAGCGTGGTAGACCATTGGGTTCAAAAGATAAAAATCCTAGAAAAAGAAGTACAAAAAATGACACTACAAAAGAATCTCATGAAGAAATTCAAGATCTAATTAATCCTGATATTCC